TAACGGTTGGCTGTTTTCTGTTTTTATTGAGATGTAAGTGTCCAAAAGAGTATCAATAGTAGTTTGCTTTGATTTTTTTGCAAACTGTGCTTGCATGAGCTTTGAATACTGTATATGTTATATGAAAAATGAACATTTTTATTACCTAATCTATCCTTAGGGAGAAACAATTTGAAAATTGTTTCTAAGTATCCTTATCGTCTAGGAGAGTGATGAGTGTTATAGCCACATTCCTCCAAATGTTACCAAAATATATTTATCAGAGTAATATTTGTTTCTTTATTTGTAAAAACCTGAATAGGTATACTTCATTGGCTAGTTGAAAAATGAGTTGCTGGAAAATACTTTTTTTTTTTTTTTTTTTTCGGACACTGCATGCTGGATGAATTTTACGTTTACATCCCTCTAATTTTTGCAGCCATGTGTCCATTTATTTTTTTAAAGGTGCCTTAACTTGAATAAACCGTTGGGTAAATTTGTGAAAAAGCCTTATCATGTCAACACATAGTGTTTATAATGTCAGTCCATCTCGTTGTCTGTTCATATAATTATTTGACTCCTAATATACAAGGCTGAATGATGGTTACATATTTTTACTGATGAGTGATGCCGGTTTATACACTTATTATGTTGAGAAAATACAGTGATGACATAATAAACAGATTCATTATGAAATTTAAAAGAAGTACAGACACATTTTCTTTTAATTTTCTTACAAAAACCTTTTAAGGTTCAGTTCAATCATTACAGTCTTTAAAAACAAAAGGATTCAGGTTTTAGAGAAGAACATCAAATTTATTGTAACTGTTCTGGTGTCTGACTGAGATGTTCTCAGTTATTGTACCGTTAAAACAAAGTGCCACACTGTTTTATATTCAAATGTTTTATAAAGCATTATGAAGGTGTGTATTTTTTTTACATTCGATACGAAATGCCAAATTGGTAGCTGTGTGGAATATGAACTGCAGTGTGGTTGAAATTTCTAAATGTAACAGTCGTTTTCCTTATGTTACCGTTACCATTAACACTTTAAAGATAGCTCACAAAGATGCTGGTCAGAAAATGGTGACAGGATGATCAATTTCACTGCCCAGTGTTACATATGGCAAAAAAATGTATTTCAGTGAAAGCTGATGGGCATATTCTTTAACCTCATTGTATGGTTCAAAACACAAAATGCTTGAATATCTACTCAATGTTTTTTTTTTTTTTTTTTCATTTATTACAGATAGCTCGAGCTATTTGTTAGCTGTTCCACTGCTAAAACTATTAATAAAATATATAAATGAAAACCATAGTATATCCTTTTGTTCAGACGCTCCCATACATTAAAGTCATCCTTCTATTTAAATTTTTGAATGGCCCAAATGATTAAGCTTAGTTATTTATTTTATTTTGCTCTATATTATATAGCTGCTTTGTTGTGTAAAGGTGAAAATCTGGTATAATATCTGGACATTTCAATTGTTTGCATTTACATTTTCATTTAGCAGACACTTAACTAAAGCGACTTACAATTGATGAATACAAGCGATTCATCATAAAGAGGCAAATAAACACAGGAAGTGCTTTTCATACAAAGTTTCAGACATCGTTCAGATTAGCACAAGCTATACAGGGAGGGATTAAAGAAAAGTAGAAGCAAAGTTTTATTATTATTATTATTATTATTAGGATTAGGATTACACCAAATGTTGACGGAAGAGATGAATTGTCTGCTGTCACTTGAATATTGTCAGGGATTCAGCATTCTGGATGGGGGTAGGAAGATCATTCCACCAGCAGGGCCCGCTGAATGAAAATGTTCTGGAAAGTGATTTTGTGCCACTCTGTGGTACCATCAGTACTCTCTGAACATAAGATAATACATTTTGTAAAAGCGTATTACAGTAATATTTCCGCAATGCTCACCTGCTCAAGCTGACAGATTTAATCACTAGGTATTATTAGGTATTTATAAGGCAAGGCAAGGCAAGTTTATTTATATAGCACATTTCATACACAATGGTAATTCAAGGTGCTTTACATAAAAGAAAAATAAAATAATAAAATAATCACAACAATAAAACAAGGAATTTAAAAACTTTTAACGATTTTTATAAGGAGAAAAGTATAAAGGCTCATTTAATTGTTTTAAAAATGTTGTATTAATTTATGAGAAAACTATATAAAAAAAATCATTATAATTAATCGTTAAAACCTGAAATTAAAAGAAAATAAAAATATTTAATCAAAAAATGTAACTAAATAAAGCAGTTTATTCAAAACTGAATAAAAATTATTCAAGCTAATATAAAAAATAAAAAAAACACAAGCACATACAATTATTTAAACTTATACTGAAATGAAAATATATAAATAAAAGCTCATTCAAAATATTAAATACTACAAAAGTATACAAATAAGATTAAAATAAAACTGTTACTTTTAACTAATTGAGGTGATAAAATGTACAGCCATAGTCCAAATATTATGCAAATATAGTACGCTAATTCTGCTGTTCACAGAATCAACTATAAGTAATTACATCCATGATTTTTACGACCATAAATCCAGACTCAAACTTCGCCTGAAACATAGCCCTTGTGTTTCAGGCTCCCACAATGCTACCGGCTCAGACTAGTTATGACTTTTTTACAAAAAGATGATTTCCAAGGTGATACCTAGATGCCACTTTATTAAATGTGCAATAAAAAGGGTTGCAAAGTTAAGAATGGAGTATGCATACATCCTTGACAGGCAGTAGCATTCAGAGAGTCGAGGATGTTGGGATAATTCATTAGTGCTCTTTTCTTGAAACTCCAAGTCCTACAGTTGATGATGAATATTGAAGTCACTTTGATATTGAACACCAAGATATATTTTACCAAGATCATCCTCACATGCTCCTCTCTTATCTGAGCGTGACAAGACAGCAGTGGCGATATCCTCCTCCTCCTATCTCTTTTGCCCATAATGCTGGGCTTCTTAGAACTGGCACAATGGAGGTCTTCTTTAAGTATAAAGGAACTATAGACTGAACAAATGTTGCATATGCCTACACATGCCTTCACAACAAAACTGAGGATGATGATGATGTGATAGCCCGGAGCCTTGAGTAAATATGATCAATAGAACTGTCCTGAAAAAATGAATAGAAGTTGTCAGGAAGAAAGGCAGACTCTATGTTGTTGCAGTCATGATAGACACTCTCATAGATAGGTCTGTTATTGTACTGAGATCATAATGTGGATTTAAATATCATTTAATGTGTCTGGAATTGAGAACATCTGACCTAGCTCAGTGCCTGTTTCACCATTTACCCATGGTGCTTAGTTTGGCTATGTACGCATCTCATCTTAAATGTGTTTATCGATATAGCCAGTAACACAATCCACAAACAGAATGATGTTTCCAGCAGCTACACAGATAATAAAGAAGAGATCCCATTCAGCAGTGTTGGGAAGGTTACTTTTGAAGTGTAATAGGTTACAGATTACAAGTTACCCTTTTTAAAATGTAATAAGTAGTGTAACTATTTCATTAACTATTTTTATTAATGTAATTGATTACATATGATTACTTTTCTAAATTTTGAGCAAATGTTTTCAACTGTTAATCATTTTGAAACATTTAAAGCAGGCACGGTTAACCTTACAGTACTTAACACTGATTACTGTCAGACTTTCAAAATCCTTCATCACTTGAATTAAGATTATAATCATTTAATTTTAAAGTGCAGCCACCACAAAATCAGACTTTAGCAGCTCTTTTTACTTTGAGATCGTTCTGAGGTTAAATATAGATTTAAAATCACAACAAGAAATAGTTTAATAGTTATGATACTGTTTTTGAAATCAGGAATGGCATCTAACGATGCTTTGGAAAAAAACAGTTAATCCTAAAAAATAAAGCATATACATAAAACCAGATAGGAAATAAAACAAATAAGCATATGTCCTATTCTGTGTCCTAAATAGGACACAGTCCTATCTGTCTTCTGAAACATTGGTGTCTCATATTTTAGAGCAGTCAATGCAATTTTGGAAATCAATCAAATCTGTATGTGTGTGAAAATATTCAGATGTGACCCCCTTTGTAATCAGTATCATTTTCTTAAGTAACTATAATTTAATTAAATTTTTTCTCAGCAACAGTAACAGATTACAGATACATTTATGTTGTAATTACATTACATAATTCCGTTACATGTAACTTACTCCCCAACACTGTCAGTGAGGTAACAATGAAGTTTCTTAATATAGAATCTGATTTAGTTCAGCAGCACCGAGTGTGTCCTAGAGCTGGTCTTGCTAGTTGGCGCTTGCTTTTTGTAGTAAAAAAGTTTTCATTTTTATTTCTAATAAGATTTTTGATGACACTTTTAACACGAATAATTGTGCTGTGTATCCCTTTAAGGGAATTCCACTGCCTCCTTGTGGCCACAACAAAAAAAAAAATTGGTATTCAGTTTTGGGGCAGGCTTGTGTATTTTTTTCCTCGGCTTGTTTTCACTCGGAGTGAGGGATCGGAGTTGACAAAACAAATGTGTGCCGTGGAGCCACGAATCGGCGCATCACAGTTCAGGTGGATCTAGATGATGGACACGGAGAAGAGAATCCAAAGGAGTACGCGCGGACTACACGATCAGATTTCACCGCTACATTTCACGAATCAGTAACATCTAAACATTTTCTCAGACTCGTATGACAACAGCGGTCGATCACTGGTCGGTGGTTGTCCTACCGCAGGACAGTGAGTGTCTGATGCCGAGTTTGATTCGCTACCTTACTGCGAAGTTGCTGTCGCGCTTACCTGTTTATATGAGTTTTGAATGCGTAATGAGGTTTACATTGGCGAGACCACTTGTTGAAATCTCACAAAACTAAGTTCAGTGTTGTAGGAAATACGATTGATTGAATTTACCATATAAGTGGGCCGTTTAAAGAGTCGACCCACTGTTTGTTGTCATTTATAGTTCGTTTGTGATAAATCGGTTGTGATATTTCGATTGTGTCATATCGCTCATTAGCTGGTTAGCTGTCACGCCTGACTTTATCCTGTAACTGACCGAGCAATATCAATCAATTACACACATTTAGACAGTTATATCACCAACTGTCTATCTTAGTTCATAAATAATGGTAGGCACTTAAATATTTATGCGCAATAACAAAAATATACATAATTTAAAGTGTTCTCGTCAGAATCTAAAGTATTTAGCTCGCTAGCTAGAGTTGTTACTGAACTCGTTTCGTAAATCCATGTTAAATATTTAAGCTTTTCTGTTTGGCATTGCACAGTATTCCACATTGTTTCCCTATTTCCCCCCACGATACCAAGCAAGAGCTGGTTTAGTGATGCCAAACAAAACTGTCATAAACACTTGACTATTTAGCGATGTCCAGTTTCCTGACAAACTTTTGAGCAAATTCTGCTCATCGCCTTTATACAAATATTGGCGTTATAAGTATAAAGAATTCTTATATATCCTCGTTACTTTGCACTTAAGCTGAATTAAGTCCATTAAGTCGTTAATAATACGGTTTCATCGCGTTTTCCAGCTCATTAATGGTGGCAAATCTCATGTCATTAAAGCCACCTCGTCAAACCTCTCTAAAGCATCTGGACTGCACTCTTACACGCTTTTCAGACATGAAAGGACAAATTAAACACATTTGACTTCTCTATCGACAACATTCAACCGTTAGTTCCCTGCGAAGTTGATCTCGAAACTCTGCGGCCCAACCATGTCTGGATCCCCGGGCTCGAGTGGCTCCAACCCACGGAAGTTCAGCGAGAAGATCGCGCTGCATAACCAGAAACAGGCGGAGGAGACGCGGGCCTTCGAGCAGCTCATGACAGACCTCACCGTCTCAAGGGTAAGCACAGCCAAATTTGGATATTACCTCGCTCCCTCGATTTCATACATCAAGTGCAGCTGCCTAAGTTTGTCCTATGCACAACTGAATCACTGTGAATGGAAAATACCAGACACATCGAGCTCATGAGGAGGGATGAGAATGGCAGTGGCTGACTGCTGTCAATCACACTGCACACACATTCATATGGACATCATGAAAGGGCTGATGCCTTGAATTTATCTCATCATATTTACAGATCTTCTCCTGAGCAGTCGTTAATTATATTTTGCCTGAGCTGTAAGTAGCAAACCTATTTTTTCTTTGAGTACAGATGTATTTGATAGTCATACATAAGTCACCATGGTAACCATAGTTTCCAGCCAAGATGCCATACTTACTACAGCTATTGTTACTACTGTAAAACTGTGGTAACAACAACATATGAGAGAGAATGAGCACAGAAACACAAGTGATGTTACAATGATGCCGGCCCCGGGTGAGCATTTGCATATGTGGGGTGAGTAAAAGTTAAAAGGTAAAAGTTCAAATAAAATTTTGCCCGTAAAAATCTTTCCAAACATTTTAATGCAAGTTAATTTGAACACATGGGCAGCACTTTTATTTTTACAGTTATTATTTTAAGTGTGTGAAATGTAAAGTTTGTTTATTGTGAATTTGCAGCTTTGCAAAGGAGGGAGTTTATTTGTTTGCACTTTGCAATGGATAATGTACAGTCAGTCAGTGGTTATTGGAAAATAAACCAAACATGGCTATCAGACCCTTAAAATGGAAGGTTGATATAAGTCTCAGGTTGATATAAGCCCCCTTAACGTTGAGGTCTTATTCAATCTGTCAAATTTAATAATAATAATAATAATTTTATTGTAATTTAGAAATACTTTACCACTGGTTGTAGCGACTAGCCAACCAGAATCATGTATCATGTACAAAGAGTGAAAAATCAACATCAACAAGAGAGTATGTAAAAACACTCTTAAAAATAAATATTCCAAAAAGGCGTTTTCGCAGTAATGCCATATAAGAACCATTTTGGGTTCCCCAAAGAACCTTTCAGTAAACAGTTCTTGAAATGACCCTTTTTTTCTCTCCTCAGTGTGAATATTTTAATCATCGTAAGAACATTTTTTTCCACGATAAAGAACCTTTTGTGCAATGGAAAGGTTCAATGGACATTAAAGGCTCTTCACGGAACCATAGATGCCAATAAAAGACCTTGTGTTAAAGAGTGCTAAAACTTGACTGATTTAATTTACCCACCTGTAGTCATGCCCTCGAGAAGATTCACTAATAAATTATGATTTTAAACAAGAACTGTAATGGTTTGTTAGAATCTATGGTTAGCCTGGTAAACATAGGGGTCACGTCAGAAGCTTTTAGTGTGCTGAGCTGCTTTGCATTTTCAGTTTCATTTACATCCTCATCATGTAAACATTTAAAGGTGCTAATATGATCACATTTGTAATGGTGAACACCAGTAAAAGATGAGAGCTGAACATGTTCAGGCTGCTTTTCTGTGAGTTGTGTAAAAACGCTGTGTGTGTATCTTGGCATGACTGAGCTTAGAGTTTGGGTTATGTTTTAGTTTTTGTTGATGTCTACGATGGATTTTTTTGAAGTGTGGTTTAGAGAAGGGTTAAAGTCTGCGTGAACCGGAAGTTGCGACCGACTTTACTTCCGCATTGTGACGTACTTCAGAGAGAAACGGAATATTGAATGAGAAAAACAGAGGGCGTGGCTTGTTTTTTTTATAAAAACTGGTATAAAAACTGCAAACTGATTGGATGTAGTAAAGTAGGCGTTTCATTCAGAACAACACTGACAGTTGGAGGGATGTGTTTAAGGATGTTATGCTCAAGCCCAAGCCGTCAAACTGACGTCATCAGAGAAGGTCTGTAATTTCAGAGGGGAGGTGCATTTTCAGATTTGGATTACGAAGGCAAAAATTTTTTTTGTGGATTGACTTGCACGGATGAATTGTTCACCACAAAAATAGCAGTGTGCGCTAACAAAATAAATATAGTTAATTTTGATTTCATGTGTAATTCAAGAAATGTCAGTCAGGTGTAGTGCTGGGCGATATACCGGTTCAAACGGTAAACCGGTTTGAATTCCACACACGTATGAATAGGGCTGAACGATTTTGGAAAATAATCTAATTGCGATTTTTTTTTTTTTTTTCCAAATTGCAATTTCCAATTTACAAATAATGCATTCAGATTTGTGGAACTCAATGCACTGAATCGCCACAAATTAGTGTCGTTACTATGACAACCAATTTGAATGTGACAAGCAACTGGTGTCTGAAAAGAGATATATATATAATTTTTTTTTGGGGGGGGACAATAGGGATTTCGCCTAGGGCATCAAATTGGCTAGAAACGGCCCTGCTTGTAAGCATGTAATAATTATGACAACATAAAGCACAACAAATCTGTTGCTTTACCACACTACAAGTCACTGTAATAAACATGTAAACATGTGGACTGCACTTTTCAAACACCGTCTGTTAACTTTAGACAGACTTTAAATAAATAAATAAGAATATATATATTACCTTATTATATATATTATTTTAAGGTCGAAGTCTTCAGTAATGAATTGCACTGTAACACTGTTACTGCTTGAGTAATTTCAATGTGCCATTTTGAAGTACGTTCATTATATACGCTTTCAAACATTTCCGCGTGTAGCGTGCCAGGGTTGCCAGGTTTTCACAACAAAACCCACTCAATTGCTACTCAAAACTAGCCCAATCGCGTTTCGAGGGGGGTCAACTGGTAAAAATCACGTTCCAGGGGGTAAAATACACGTTTTTTGGAGGTTCCCCAAACGCTTTCAAACATTTCCGCGTGTAGCGTGCCAGGGTTGCCAGGTTTTCACAACAAAACCCGCCCAATTTCTACTCAAAACTAGCCCAATCGAGTTTCGAGGGGGGTCCACCGGTAAAAATCATTTTTTGGAGGGGTTCCCCAAACCGCGGACTTGGCAACACTGTAGCGTGCCAAGTTGATGCTTCCTCTGAAAACTGCTTAGATGTGTTCGACTTGAAGCAGCGCTGCTTAGACCGATGGGTGTGTGTCATCAAAGTACTGCAAGTGCGCGGACGTCTCCTTATGCTTTCTCTCGCCGTACTTTGATGTCATGCACCGATTGATCTTCAAGTCGAACACACCTTTTTACTCTCGCGTGTCACGTGACCGAGTGTAATCGCAGCCTCTGCAATTGAAAAATCGTGTTTTTTCATATTGCGATATTATCGCAAATGCAATTAATCGTTCAGCCCTACGTATGAATTTTTAAAAAACTGGCATACCGGTACAAGTGCCTAAGCAATGACAGCATCATGAATTGAGAGGAGATCCTTGTCAACTTAACCTGCAAAGATTGCCAGCGGCCTCTGATTATTGTTGTCAACATTCACAACCTTTCCACACTGAGCGCGAAAAAGCAAAACGAATATAGGACGCGATGACGCGCTGGAATAAAACAATAGATTTCTATGGATGCTTCCACATAGAACGCAAACATTCGTGCACCGAAAATGCAAATGGTTTTTTTCAAACCAGTCCGAAGAATCTTTTCAATTTCGCAAAGCGAAAACACGGGCCGCCCAATAAGATTTGAGCTAGGATCACGTGACTGGTGCAGCTGCTGTTGCACAAAAAGGCAAGAGTGGTGGCGCTGTTTCGAAAACCAGTGTAAACAAACACAGAAGAAGAGTATCCCAGAGAAGAGAGTGGATGCTGAGTTCTTGTTCTCGTTGGTATTTGAGAACAGATTTATTCTCAGATGTTCTTTATACAGAATAACATTTCTATTAATTGTCCACTGAATTATGTAATCACAGTAGAGCACCGTCCATTTTCTTCCACGTGCGTGAGTCAGAGCGCATTCACTCTTTTTCTACATATGAAATATGAAAGCAAATAGAAATATAATTATGACGATATATTTTCTGTATGTGTTTTGTATGCAGCTCATGAAATTTTTATAGCAATAAAGGATGTTTATGACAAATATTAGCAGTGTAGCGTTATTAAACATACAAAGAGTGCATGTGTCTGCTTATTAATCAAAATCAACTATAGATTACAACTGGAAGTTATTACAAGCACTCGATGATGGTTTAAAGGGGTCCTATTATGCTTTTTCACTTTTTGAATTTTAGTCGGTGTGTAGTGTGTATGTTTGGGCATAAAAAAGATCTACAACGTTACAAATCTCTGAAAGTCCACTCCAAAGGGAGATATTTCGCTTTTAAAAAATCCCTTTTCAAGAACTTCAACGAACGGCTCATTTGGACTACAGCGTTGTTTTCCGGGGTTTGTGATGTCACAAAGCGGCCCATTAGAATATCATTAAAATAATTCCCGCCTACGGAAATTCGAATGGTTGGGGGGTGGGGAGGGGAGAGGTCGTGGTTAGAACGCTTGGTTGAGTGCATCAGACAAGACGACGAAGAAGAAGTGCTGCTGTAGCATCAAGTTTTCGCAAGTTACACATGCACCTGAATAATTATGTATGTAAATATGTA